GGAGAGAGGCCGGAGAGAGACCAGAGAGAGGCCGGAGAGAGAAGAGAGAGACCAGAGAGAGACCAGAGAGAGGCCGGAGAGAGACCGGAGAGAGGCCGGAGAGAGACCAGAGAGAGGCCGGAGAGAGAAGAGAGAGACCAGAGAGAGACCAGAGAGAGACCAGAGAGAGACCAGAGAGAGGCCGGAGAGAGACCGGAGAGAGGCCGGAGAGAGACCGGAGAGAGGCCGGAGAGAGACCGGAGAGAGACCAGAGAGAGACCAGAGAGAGACCAGAGAGAGGCCGGAGAGAGACCAGAGAGAGACCAGAGAGAGACCGGAGAAAGACCAGAGAGAGACCAGAGAGAGACCAGAGAGAGACCAGAGAGAGGCCGGAGAGAGACCAGAGAGAGACCAGAGAGAGACCGGAGAAAGACCAGAGAGAGACCAGAGAGAGACCAGAGAGAGACCAGAGAGAGGCCGGAGAGAGACCGGAGAGAGACCAGAGAGAGGCCGGAGAGAGACCAGAGAGAGGCCGGAGAGAGACCGGAGAGAGGCCGGAGAGAGACCGGAGAGAGACCAGAGAGAGACCAGAGAGAGACCAGAGAGAGGCCGGAGAGAGACCAGAGAGAGGCCGGAGAGAGACCGGAGAGAGACCAGAGAGAGACCAGAGAGAGACCAGAGAGAGACCAGAGAGAGGCCGGAGAGAGACCAGAGAGAGGCCGGAGAGAGACCGGAGAGAGACCAAAGAGAGACCAGAGAGAGACCAGAGAGAGGCCGGAGAGAGACCGGAGAGAGGCCGGAGAGAGACCAGAGAGAGGCCGGAGAGAGACCGGAGAGAGACCAGAGAGAGACCAGAGAGAAACCAAAAAGAGAGATTTTATTGTCACTCTTTTTGTGACAGATTTCACTGGTGTTCAACTCTCTGCTGGTGTATTGCACAGTTCATACACAAGGAAAGTCAAAAGTGCTGAACTAAACAAGATAGAAACAGTCACAAAATTAAAAGTTAAAATCACAAGATAAAAATATAAAATCCATCAGTTGCAGCAACAGAAGAAGACTGTCTCACATTTTCAGGAAGACTGACTGAGGCTGTAGATCCAGGACTTAGCCAGATTGATAACAGACTTGATGGATTAATGTGGGTCTAGTTCAGAAAAGTTTGTCTTGTCTTTGTGGTAGAAATAAAAGTATTTGCTTCTTCTGTACCAGACAGAAGTAGGATAGGGATGCTGTTGCCGTGACGACGGAAATAACATTGCTATCCTACTACTGTCTAATATGTAAGGGATAATGTATAGCCTACAGGTCATTATCGGAAAATAAGTACCGACAGGGCGAAGCGGACCCCGACGCGCAAAATAAACTTCAGATCACTTTTATGAATGCCAAAAGTTTATTTAATGACTACAAATAAAGTAGTCCCAAAAAGTTTTCCCGTTGCTCGGCAACCGCGGGCAACAGTTAGGCTGGCAACTTCCAAACTAGAACTCTCTGGAACTGCATGAAAACTGAACAAAGAATTCTGAACATCAGCGGTGAGTGACCCATACATAAACCTAACCTAAATCCATAATTCGATCCTCTGCAAATGTGTCCGAAAATGTGCCGGTATCTTAAAATGTGCCGGTATCTACTTCCGGGTTTTTCGGGATCGCCTTTTCTCGCATTACATCAGTGTTTTTGTCATGAAAACGTAAACGGAAAATTCTGAAAACTTCCGTGCACTTGTATTAAGACTGGATATGTATAAATTACTCTCCGATTAACATTTCATTGCGTTGATTGATTGGCATTTGCGTTTATTGAGCGGCCAGAACTACTTCCGGGTTTTTCACGATCGCTTTTTGACGCAGAGAAATAGTATTTTTGTCATGAAGACAAGACCAGAAAATTCTGAAAATTTCCGTGCACGTGTGTGAAGAATGTATATGTATAAGTATTCTCCGATTAACATTTAAGTGTGTTGATTGAGCGTGGCTAGCTCCGGAGTGGCCGGAACTACTTGCGGAGTTATCCACGCATTTGAAAGACAAGCAGAGAGTGCGTTGCCATGGGCAGCGGTCATTATTGTTTTGAGAGGTCCGTTATAGAAAATAATGACCGGTAGAACGTTTTGAAATTACATTCAAATCAATGGAGCATTCTACTGCTGCTGTGAGGAGCCGTATAATAAAGAAGAAACAAATACTTTTATTTGCGGGTCTACTTTAAACTGTGAGAAGGCAGCATTTCAGATTTATGCTGCTCAAATCTTCCTGAAAATGTGAGACAGGCTTTCTCTCTGGGGCTTCCTCTCGTTCAAATCCAGGTTCATAACAGAGTGACCAGAGAGAAAGACCAGAGAGACACTAAAGAGAGAGAGGCCAGAGAGAGAGAGACCAGAGAGACACTAAAGAGAGAGACCAGAGAGACCAGAGAGACACTAAAGAGCAGAGGTGGGACAAAGTCATTGTTTAGCAAGTCACGAGTCAGTCTCAATTCATTGCCCTCAAGTCCCGAGTCAAGTCACGAGTCAAGACAGGCAAGTCCCGAGTCGAGTCCAAGTCAAAGGCCAACAAATCTCAAGTCAGTCCCAAGTCCTACGGTTTGACTTTCGAGTCCTCTCGAGTCTTTTTGACCGCGATTTGTTTCTTGTTGGTCTCCACGTACTTTTGTAGGCAAACAAAATAATGTTAGGAATCATTTTGCTGATGCATTCTCGTTGGTCTCTGACCCATGGACTAACAGTTTGTTCCATGTCGTTGTCTGCTGATAAATCAAAACTATCTACGTGATCTAATTGGATGTTGTGCCAGATGCAGGCTCAGTTACACATGCACAGACCACACATAAAATCAGAGCAGTCCGTGTCAACATACTTTTTATCTTTGGGGTTTTTAATGGGAAGTAGCAAGTGCAGCATATATGAATATGAGTATTGGGCTAGGACCTGTATCTATATAATCAGTTTAATGTCCGTAGTGGTTATTGTTCCAAATGTCCTACTGTAGAATAGGGGTAGTATGAGGGGTCTAGGCTTTGGACCTGGGGCAGCTCGCCATCAACTGGACCAGCATTAGCAATATCTCATAATTACCAATATATCATTACATAATAAAATGTCTCATATAAATTAATTCAATCAGTCAAAGCACTGATTCTCATATCAATGCACCATAAACAATAGTGCAAATATTAATCTAGCTTAGTGCACATAATCAAAACAACTATCTAATGTATGCAAACTTTAGCAGGAGGAGCACAGCAAAAATATACTCATAATAATAGGCCTCGGCGCCCACACAGAAAAATATAAGAAAGAGCCAACAGAGCAGCGCAGGCTAGCGCTAGTTTGACTCACCAGTTCCTCTTTAAAACACGGCACACAGTGTGACAACTGCGTCGATTCAATTGTATGAGGCGCCTGTAGTGAAAGCATATCAATTACGGTTTGTAGAACAAAATATGACGTTAGGTCGCGATAAATACCTGCAGCTCGCTCATTTCCAGCTCCCCTAGACAACACACCCACCGGTGAATGCAGTCCGCTTGTTTAGGGAAGTGTTGCTGCGCGAACTGCGGGGAACTCACGTTCGAACTCTCTCGCGAGCGCTACAACTACCGCGAGGCTTTGTTTCTTCAGAGACGGCATAGATAGAAAGAAAGATGCGGAGAAAGGTAAAAATGGCCCGGGTTACGCAAGTCTTTACAAGTCAATTGGCGCAAGTCCAAGTGAAAGTCAGAGTCATTGATGTTAAAGTCCAAGTCGAGTTGCAAGTCTTTTTATATTTGGTCAAGTCGAGTCTAAAGTCATCAAAATCATGACTCGAGTCTGACTCGAGTCCAAGTCACATGACTCGAGTCCACACCTCTGCTAAAGAGAGAGACCAGAGAGACACTAAAGAGAGAGAGGCCAGAGAGAGAGAGACCAGAGAGACACTAAAGCGAGAGAGACCAGAGAGACACTAAAGAGAGAGACCAGAGAGACACTAAAGAGAGAGAGGCCAGAGAGAGAGAGACCAGAGAGACACTAAAGCGAGAGAGACCAGAGAGACACTAAAGAGAGACCAGAGAGAGAGAGACCAGAGAGACACTAAAGAGAGAGAGAGACCAGAGAGACACTAAAGAGAGAAAGACCAGAGGGAGACACCACAGAGAGACCATAGAGAGGCCAGAGAGAGACCAGAGAGACCATAGCGAGAGACCATAGAGAGAGACCAGAGAGAGACCAGAGAGAGAGACCAGAGAGAAAGACCAGAGAGAAAGACCAGAGAGAGACCAGAGAGACCAGAGAGAGAGACCAGAGAGAGACCAGAGAGAGACCAGAGAGACCATAGAGAGAGACCAGAGAGAGACCAGAGAGAAAGACCAGAGAGAGACCAGAGAGACCAGAGAGAGAGACCAGAGAGAGACCAGAGAGACCATAGAGAGAGACCAGAGAGAAAGACCAGAGAGAGACCAGAGAGACCATAGAGAGAGACCAGAGAGAAAGACCAGAGAGAGACCAGAGAGAAAGACCAGAGAGAGACCATAGACCATAGAGAGACCAGAGAGAGACCAGAGAGAGACCAGAGACCATAGAGAGACCATAGAGAGACCATAGAGAGACCAGAGAGAGACCAGAGAGACCAGAGAGAGACCAGAGAGACCATAGAGAGGCCAGAGAGAGACCAGAGAGAGACCAGAGAGAGAGAGACCAGAGAGAGACCAGAGAGAGACCAGAGAGAGACCAGAGAGACCAGAGAGAGACCAGAGAGAAAGACCAGAGAGAGACCAGAGAGAAAGACCAGAGAGAGACCATAGACCATAGAGAGACCAGAGAGAGACCAGAGAGAGACCAGAGACCATAGAGAGACCATAGAGAGACCAGAGAGAGACCAGAGAGACCAGAGAGAGACCAGAGAGACCATAGAGAGGCCAGAGTGATTATTGATGATTTTATTCCTTGTGTGACTGTTCCTATCTTGTCTTGTGTATGAACCGTGCTCTACAAATAAACTTGCCGTACTTTGCAAAGACATTTCTAAGAGTTTTTTTTTCTACTTTCTACGATCATTCACTTCATCCTTCTCCTCCTCACTGCCAGCAACAAGTAAGTCAGTAAGGAAGATGTTTTTATTTATATAGCGCCTTTCACAGAGTCACTTTACTTTTGGTTGTTTTTGGGAATTCGTCTCGGACTCCACCGAGAAATGGGAGCCGGTAAACCCAGGTCAATTATTATTATTATTATTATTACATAGATATAGCTTTAGTTTAAGGGCAGACATAGACCAGGACACTCAACAAATATGGTCAAAAGTGAAAGAGAGTCTTTAGAGAGTGAGATATATTATGTACAATAACATTAAAAAACGACTAGAGCTGCGCAAGTTTTTCCGGTCTTTGTGCAGGTTGTTAAAGTGACTCATTGTACAGTCTGACAGCGACATTTATGGACATTGGTCTTTGCTCCTTATGGACCTATGAATGTGTTTTAAATCATTTAATTTCTTGTGTTTGCAAAGTTTGATTCTCTGATCTGTGATTCAACAGTTTAGTCAAGTCCTCTGAGATAGAACTGTTGTGATTTAGGGCGATATAAGAATAGATTGAGAGACTAGAGAGAGACCAGAGAGACTGGAGAGAGACCAGAGAGAGACTAGAGAGAGACTGGAGAGAGACTGGAGAGAGACCGGAGAGAGACTGGAGAGAGACCAGAGAGACTGGAGAGAGACCAGAGAGACTGGAGAGAGACCAGAGAGAGACCGGAGAGAGACTGGAGAGAGACCAGAGAGACTGGAGAGAGACCGCAGAGAGACTGGAGAGAGACCGGAGAGAGACTGGAGAGAGACCAGAGAGACTGGAGAGAGACCAGAGAGACTGGAGAGAGACCAGAGAGACTGGAGAGAGACCGCAGAGAGACCGGAGAGACTGGAGAGAGACCAGAGAGACTGGAGAGAGACCGCAGAGAGACCGGAGAGACTGGAGAGAGACCAGAGAGACTGGAGAGAGACCAGAGAGACTAGAGAGAGACCAGAGAGACTGGAGAGAGACCAGAGAGAGACCAGAGAGAGACCAGAGAGAGACTGGAGAGAGACCAGAAAGAGACCAGAGAGAGACCAGAAAGAGACCAGAGAGAGACCAGAGAGAGACTGGAGAGAGACCGGAGAGAGACCAGAGAGACTGGAGAGAGAACAGAGAGAGACCAGAGAGAGACCAGACAGAGACTGGAGAGAGACTGGAGAGAGACCGGAGAGAGACCAGAGAGAGACCAGAGAGACCAGAGAGAGACCGGAGAGAGACCAGAGAGAGACTGGAGAGAGACCAGAGAGAGACCAGAGAGACTGGAGAGAGACCAGAGAGACCAGAGAGAGACCAGAGAGAGACCAGCGAGAGACTGGAGAGAGACCAGAGAGACTGGAGAGAGACCAGAGAGAGACCAGAGAGAGACCAGAGAGAGACCAGAGAGAGACCAGAGAGACCAGAGAGAGACCAGAGAGAGACCAGAGAGACCAGAGAGAGACCAGAGAGAGACCAGAGAGACTGGAGAGAGTTGATATAAGAATGAATTGAATTTAAGACTTCCGTTTTGGTTTCTTGTTCTAGTTTTCTGTAAGCAAACATACAACATGCAGCTGAACATCCAAACCATCCTCACCTTAACAATGTAAGTCACTCCTGGGCCTGAGATCTTGTCGCTGGAGTGGAGCCACCCTCGGGGGGGCTTGCTGACCAGTGCCCCCCCTCCGCCCGGGTTCCAGTCCTCAGATCCCGGCTGCGGCTCGTCCATGCGGGTCTTCTTGCTCATGTTGACCGTGGTCTCTGGCTGCGAGCAGGGGGCAGGCTGGGAGCTGCTCTGTGTAGCTCCCACCCCAAAGGCTGTCACCGCTGTTGTTGTCACAGCGGGCCCCGAGCCCGATCCCCCACCCCCCTGCAGCTTCGACACAGCCAGGTCCTTGACAGCGGAGGGCAAACCCTTGATGCCCAGCAAGCTGCCGGAGTTGGAGAATTTTAGGTTGGACACCTTGTTGATGAGCGTGCACAGGGTCCCTCCATCCTCCAGGTGGTCGGAGCCGTGGCTGGTGGCGGCGCTGGGGGCACTGGGAGCCTGGACCTCGGATGGGGGTGTGTATGGAGTCTCGGCTGCAGGCTGGGGACCGGCCGAGATCTTGGGGTTTATGGACAGACCGTGGAGCAGATCATCGACGGATGTTACTGACTCATTCCTGAAGCGGTTGTATTTGGTACGGTGAAGCATACCCTTCTCTCTCTGCTCTCTCTCCGCTCACAGCCTCTTTCACAAGCCTGCTGCTGACAGATGTGGCTGTGCACCGCTCATTAGCCTCCCTGGTAACATAGCAGCAGCAGCAGCAGCGGTGGAGGCGGTGGAGGCGGTGGAGGACTCACAGGCCACCGGAGCAGAATGGTCTCTCTTCAGATCACAGCGATGCCTGGGTATAATAGAACCAGCCTTTGCCTCTGCTGCTTCAGTCCAGTTTGTCAAATCCAGTCAAATCCAGAGATGCAATCCAACCTGTCAAACAAACAATCCATTGAAAACCCAGCACTAGGAATGTGCTGGATCAGAAAAAGCATCTATCGCCTCAAAAAAATCCCAAAAACGGAGAGCAGAGCAGGTTGGATGTGGCTGAGCCTGGGCACAGAGGGAAGAGCAGAGACTGTGAGGCTCGGAGCTAAAGCATGACTCACTGATCTGAGAAAACCTCCTCAACAAAAGGCTTGCTGAGCACTGCAAAACACTTCCTGTTGCAAGGAGAAGGAAAACCTCCCACTTACAGCACACTGGAACCAATCAATGTTTTAATTTTCCAGTGAGACATTGGATCCGAGTCATTTTTAGCATCACACTTGATTATCTCAGTTAAAAAATGGAGAAAATAATACTGAAAGAATTCTCAAGAGCCTCGTCCAATAATAGAGAATAAACAATGTTGGTGGGAAAATGTTTAAGAAAAGGAGAGTGACTTTGTCTGGCTTTTAAAATATGTTTTTTCATTCACACCTATGACAGTTATGTGCGTCTATTGCGATGTGTTGGATGATAAACGGATTTGTGTTTAATCCATGCTTTAGCCCACAGAGATTTCGTTGTAAAATATGACTCTAATTATATATTTTATCAGATTAAATGCAAAGCAAACCTGGCAGCTGCCTACGGAACTACAACATGTCGCGCTCTGTAATGTAGTCTCAGAATGTAAAACGAGGAGAAGGCGCAGAAAGCATGCGTCAGGCAGGAGGCTGAGGTGGAGAGCAGAGACAAGAACCACCAGAAAAAAACTCTCCTTTAAAGCCAGAGTGTGTGATGATGCGCGGGTTCCTACAGTCTCCGGTTCCTCCAGAGAAGAGACAGGGCTCGGTCAGACATCATTCACCAAACACGTCCGTGAAGCAGTGAACGGCTCATTCATAAGCAGCTTCCGCTCTCACCCTGCTGCAGATTTCGCACTGCAGTCCCTCCCAACATCTTCCTCCTGCCAGGCAAACATGGAAACAAGAAACCAGGCAGGATTCTTCTCTCCGCAGACACAAAAGGCACAGGGTCGTCCGCGTACGTGCAGCCGCGACGCGAAGGGAGAGAGACCGAGAGACCGAGAGAGCGCGCGTAAAGGTCGCTCAGAGATATTTGGTGTTTTGTTTTATGTGAATGAAAAGCAAGCTAGTTCAGCGCAGTGTTTCTGTGAATGAAAGCGAGGCCCGTGTGCCTCTGCATCTGCAAGGCAATCCCTCGGGATGGGATGGTCTTGTCCAATCAGGAGCGAGCTGGATGACTCATTCAGAGGAGGCTGTGGATAGTGGAGCAGACCATTACGCAGACAGGAGCCGCTTCAATTCAGTATGATTTATGTTTGCATCGAAATGTTTTCTTCATTACAACAGCAGCAGTCGCCTCGGAGCAGTGTATGAAGTTGTGGATTAACCAACAACAGATCAGAGAATCAAAAACACTGAATGCAACAATAGCAGTGCTAGCATAACACATGGAGGCACTGGTCCATAGCGAGCAGGAGGACCACTGTCCAGAAATGTTTATAAATGTTCTTCAATGTCCTGGATCATCTCTGTTCTTTGATCCGTGGTGGGCAAACCCCGGCCCGTGGGCCAGATGCGGCCCTTTGGACGTTGCTATCAGGCCCCTGAACCCTCCTCATTTTATATTGTGACTCTGGTCTGTGAAAGGCAGTATATAAATAAAGATTACTAACTTATATAGAAGCTGTATGAAGACTATAACACCCCTCTCCTGCTGAGATGCCTGAGCAACATCAACTAACTCCCCTGAGGTGGACATGGATTTTAATTTAAATTATTTTAATGTATTTTAAGGGCTTTTTAAACCAGTCAACATGTGTCATTGGAAGGTTTGAGTGGTTTAGAATTCTGGGAGTCTAAATACTAAACTAAACTTGTTCCAAAACATAGGCTCGCTCTCTGGTCTCGCTTTCTGGTCTCTCTCTCTGGTCTCTCCCTCTGGGTCTCTCTCTCCGGGTCTCTCCCTCTGGGTCTCTCTCTCCCTCTGGGTCTCTCTCCCTCTCTGGGTCTCTCCCTCTCAGGTCTCACCCTCTCAGGTCTCTCTCTCTGGGTCTCTCCTTCTCAGGTCTCTCTCTCTAGGTCTCTCCCTCTCAGGTCTCTCTCTCTGGGTCTCACCCTCTCAGGTCTCTCTCTCTGGGTCTCTCCTTCTCAGGTCTCTCTCTCTGGGTCTCTCCTTCTCAGGTCTCTCTCTCTGGGTCCCTCCCTCTCAGGTCTCTCTCTCTAGGTCTCTCCCTCTCAGGTCTCTCTCTCCGGGTCTCTCCCTCTCACTTCTCTCTCTCTGGGTCTCTGCCTCTCAGGTCTCTCTCTCTGGGTCTCTCCCTCTCAGGTCTCTCTCTCTCCGGTCTCTCTCTCTGGGTCTCTCCCTCTCAGGTCTCTCCCTCTCAGGTCTCTCCTTCTGGTCTCTCTCTCTCAGGTCTCTCCCTCTCAGGTCTCTCTCTCTGGGTCTCACCCTCTCAGGTCTCTCTCTCTGGGTTTCTCCCTCTCAGGTCTCTCTCTCTGGGTCCCTCCCTCTCAGGTCTCTCTCTCTAGGTCTCTCCCTCTCAGGTCTCTCTCTCTGGGTCTCTCCGTCTCAGGTCTCTCCCTCTCAGCTCTCTCTCTCTGGGTCTCTCCCTCTGGGTCTCTCTCTCCCTCTGGGTCTCTCTCCCTCTCTGGGTCTCTCCCTCTCAGGTCTCACCCTCTCAGGTCTCTCTCTCTGGGTCTCTCCTTCTCAGGTCTCTCTCTCTAGGTCTCTCCCTCTCAGGTCTCTCTCTCTGGGTCTCACCCTCTCAGGTCTCTCTCTCTGGGTCTCTCCTTCTCAGGTCTCTCTCTCTGGGTCCCTCCCTCTCAGGTCTCTCTCTCTAGGTCTCTCCGTCTCAGGTCTCTCCCTCTCAGCTCTCTCTCTCTGGGTCTCTCCCTCTCACTTCTCTCTCTCTGGGTCTCTCCCTCTCACTTCTCTCTCTCTGGGTCTCTCCCTCTCAGGTCTCTCCCTCTCAGGTCTCTCTCTCTGGGTCTCTGCCTCTCAGGTCTCTCTCTCTGGGTCTCTCCCTCTCAGGTCTCTCTCTCTCCGGTCTCTCTCTCTGGGTCTCTCCCTCTCAGGTCTCTCCCTCTCAGGTCTCTCCTTCTGGTCTCTCTCTCTCAGGTCTCTCCCTCTCAGGTCTCTCTCTCTGGGTCTCACCCTCTCAGGTCTCTCTCTCTGGGTTTCTCCCTCTCAGGTCTCTCTCTCTGGGTCCCTCCCTCTCAGGTCTCTCTCTCTAGGTCTCTCCCTCTCAGGTCTCTCTCTCTGGGTCTCTCCGTCTCAGGTCTCTCCCTCTCAGCTCTCTCTCTCTGGGTCTCTCCCTCTGGGTCTCTCTCTCCCTCTGGGTCTCTCTCCCTCTCTGGGTCTCTCCCTCTCAGGTCTCACCCTCTCAGGTCTCTCTCTCTGGGTCTCTCCTTCTCAGGTCTCTCTCTCTAGGTCTCTCCCTCTCAGGTCTCTCTCTCTGGGTCTCACCCTCTCAGGTCTCTCTCTCTGGGTCTCTCCTTCTCAGGTCTCTCTCTCTGGGTCCCTCCCTCTCAGGTCTCTCTCTCTAGGTCTCTCCGTCTCAGGTCTCTCCCTCTCAGCTCTCTCTCTCTGGGTCTCTCCCTCTCACTTCTCTCTCTCTGGGTCTCTCCCTCTCACTTCTCTCTCTCTGGGTCTCTCCCTCTCAGGTCTCTCCCTCTCAGGTCTCTCTCTCTGGGTCTCTGCCTCTCAGGTCTCTCTCTCTGGGTCTCTCCCTCTCAGGTCTCTCTCTCTCCGGTCTCTCTCTCTGGGTCTCTCCCTCTCAGGTCTCTCCCTCTCAGGTCTCTCCTTCTGGTCTCTCTCTCTCAGGTCTCTCCCTCTCAGGTCTCTCTCTCTGGGTCTCACCCTCTCAGGTCTCTCTCTCTGGGTTTCTCCCTCTCAGGTCTCTCTCTCTGGGTCCCTCCCTCTCAGGTCTCTCTCTCTAGGTCTCTCCCTCTCAGGTCTCTCTCTCTGGGTCTCTCCGTCTCAGGTCTCTCCCTCTCAGCTCTCTCTCTCTGGGTCTCTCCCTCTGGGTCTCTCTCTCCCTCTGGGTCTCTCTCCCTCTCTGGGTCTCTCCCTCTCAGGTCTCACCCTCTCAGGTCTCTCTCTCTGGGTCTCTCCTTCTCAGGTCTCTCTCTCTAGGTCTCTCCCTCTCAGGTCTCTCTCTCTGGGTCTCACCCTCTCAGGTCTCTCTCTCTGGGTCTCTCCTTCTCAGGTCTCTCTCTCTGGGTCCCTCCCTCTCAGGTCTCTCTCTCTAGGTCTCTCCCTCTCAGGTCTCTCTCTCTAGGTCTCTCCGTCTCAGGTCTCTCCCTCTCAGCTCTCTCTCTCTGGGTCTCTCCCTCTCACTTCTCTCTCTCTGGGTCTCTCCCTCTCACTTCTCTCTCTCTGGGTCTCTCCCTCTCAGGTCTCTCTCTCTCAGGTCTCTCTCTCTGGTCTCTCTCTCTGGGTCTCCCTCTCAGGTCTCTCTCTCTGGGTCCCTCCCTCTCTGGTCTCTCTCTCTGGGTCTCTCTCTCTGGTCTCTCTCTCTGGGTCTCTCTCTCTGGTCTCCCTCTCAGGTCTCTCTCTCTGGGTCCCTCCCTCTCTGGTCTCTCTCTCTGGGTCTCTCTCTCTGGTCTCTCTCTCTGGGTCTCTCTCTCTGGTCTCCCTCTCAGGTCTCTCTCTCTGGGTCTCTCTCTCTGGTCTCTCTCTCTGGGTCTCTCTCTCTGGTCTCC